CGTGATTTTTCCTACCTTTTTCTTCTTTTTTTTTGGTCTCGATCGTCCTAGCGACGTGATCGAGGACCGGATGATCGAGCTCGGACGTCATAAATCATGGGGTAGCTTGGTTTCAAGATGAAACTGACAGCCATCGATCGTATAAAAATTAGTTATATGGCGGGAAAAGTGGTCTAGGATAATAGCTGTCTGTTGTGACACTGGAAAGAGGGGTATAAGCGTTATTATGAGGGACATGAATTTTGAAACTCGAGATATTTTTTTTAACTTCATTTGGAAGAGACATATTACAGGTTGGATCATATAGTTCTGATTTAAATAGAAATGAAAATTAATTTTACCGAGGGAATACTGACCTCGTGCATAGTTATACTAGATTTGATAAGACAATGATCTTTTGCATAGGAGTGTCTATGAACAGTATGGTACTCTAATATGATATTGGAAAAAGGAGTTACCAGTATTGTAATGATCGAAATAGATTTTAAAATTCGAAGTAATTTTTTAATTATACTTGGAATAGAAATATGGATCATTCCAGTTACTATGATTAAAAATAACAATTAAAATTACATACGAGAACAGTTATTTTATGCATAGGAGTCTTTACGTACTCTGAAATGATATTGAGAAAAGATGTTATCAATGTAGTGAAGATCAAGGAGGTTTTTTAATTTCACTTAAAACAGCGATATAGTTCATTCGTCTCGCATAGAAATGAAAATTAGTTATGGCAGAACAATAATTCTGAGCACAGAGGTCTCTGTCTCCTCTCTGCCTCTAATCAAATTAGATTGATTACATGAATAATATCAGATGTTATTTATGTCAAGATAATATCAGACCTGGAGAATATTAGATATTATTAAATATACGAAAATGTTTGAAGTCAAAGTTTCGTTCATGTGGAAGCTTCTATACCAAGGATATGTTATAATTTTTTTGTTAATCAAAAAGATGTCTACGAGATGTAAAGTAATTTTATACGATCATCGCGATTAGAGCAGTTATTGATATGAAATACCTAAGTAGGATTTGTACGATTATTTCTATGTCGTTACAAGGAGAAGTTATTAGGTTGTGTCGGTCACGTTCTTCTTAGACAGACCGTGTATGATCCTGACAGTATCCCACATTGGAGTCGGACTAGACATGATATATAAAGTATTAAAGTAATTTATTTATTTTTGATGGAATAAATTACAGAATGCACAATGTAACAAAACCACTCATCACAATTTTCATTCTCCTAACAAACCAATCACAGACTCTTCCACTTTCAATAAAAAAGGAAAAAAAGGAAATTTTACAAATTAAAAATAAACGATTTGTTTTATATTACTTCTAAATTAATCCTTTGATTATCTAACAAACAAAGAAATAAAAAAATATCTAACACAAATATATAACCAGATAATCATATATATATATAAAATTAACTTAATTTGCGAAACATCCGATACATGTAGAAAGATCGTCAAATCTTTTTGCATATAGAAGAATGTAAAGCTGCAACATAATGGTCCTTCATAGGATAGAGGGATCGATAGATCGATCGATGGTCACGCTCCAAGTCGGGACAGTTCCTGGTGAGGTTCATTTGACGCAAATTACTCGTATTCATTATGATTGACCAATTTTGTGTAGCGTAATAACGACAAGTCTCGACGAAATAATGTCTCGGTCATGAAACTGCTATCTCGATGCTTAAACTTAGAGCTCGATTGTGGGACATGATTCGGTTTTGAAAAATCGAAATCAATACGCGTATAGAACGAGGAAGAGATAGCCTTCGATGATACTTACCTGCTGTACCATTCATCGCCTCGATTCCTTGGGATAAAGTGCATAAACAAGAGGTGGTAATGGCTTGTGCCATTATTCATGGAACGGGATAATTTTTGCACGAGAAAAGAAAAATCTGAGGTATGTGAAACGCATGATAAACTTCGCCATATAAACCTAACAACAATTTTAATAAATTTTTAGCTTTTAATTTTTTATTTTAGGAGGTTAACAAGTTAATATTAATTTGAAAGTTGCTATATTATATTACTGGAAGAATATTTTTTATTGTCTTATGTTTTTAAAATAAGTCTTAATATCTTGTAGAAACTAACTATTAAAATTTGAAATTTTATTAGTGATTCCATAAAATCTCAAATTTCATATGAAATTCTAAAAAAGTTAACAAACTAAGAAATTTGAAATAAACTCCAATTCACGTGATTTGTTTATCATAGATAACAAACATATATTTCTACTTTTCATTCCCCACAAATTTTCAAATATATTTTTTCTTAAATAAAACAAGATAAGTCATATTTTTTAACTAATAATATCATTTATACAAATGAATTCCAAATGAACACAGCTCCACTCTATCTCAAATATAATAATCATAGTATAATCAACCCCTGCGAAAAGTAACTAGGCAAAGGGCTAATCAAAGATTACAGAAAATTTTGTTACACTGAATGACGTTCAAATAAATGCATTTTCACCACATATAAAATTAAAAAAGGAAAGAAAACAATTCTAATAAGATGATTCGTTCAGAAGCAGACACCGACGACAACACCCTTTTATAAATTAAACCTAGCTCATGGGCGTAAACCAGTCAGAGTTCGCGTTTCGTGTACGCTCCTTTTTCCTAATGGGTCGGGCACGAGGAATCGGCTCATTTGTTGCGTATTAGCAGAGGTTAATGAGCTTCTTGAGGCTGCCGCCTTTTGCGAACGGCCAAGTGACTTCGACTTTCCGAAACGGAGGAGGGAAACAGATGAGGTACGCCTACCAGGACCTACAACTGCACAGTTTCCCTGGGACCAAGGATTTCGAAAATCACTGGTTGCGCCCTATGCTGACGGTGAAAGTTAATGAATTTCACCTCGTTCGTTTCGTGTCGCATGAAAAAAAAAAATTGCTACGTTCATAATTCGATTTTCATCCCAAGAATTCCTTCAACATACCAATATAAATGAGGTTGATCAATAACGGAAATGTTTATAAATTGTCGCGATTCTAAATGGTACAACAAGCTCAGGGACCAAGCTATTTACTTTGGTAAAAATAGTCGCATCCAATAAGATTCGTCAATAAAGATGTTTTCGCGCGAATCTTATGCACTTATTACTACAAACGCAAAAATCACATGTTTCGTAATACGTATGCATGCAATACTCGATATCTACTGTTATTTTTTTCCTTTTTCCCCGTTTCTTCAGTTTTTGGTTATTTTTAAATTCCTTATGCAATAGTCGTTGTGAATGCTATTTTTGTTCCGTTGTTTGCTGAATATATAAACGTATTTTTAACGACGTTACAACAATCAATATGCTTTATAAAAATATTTGCATTGCTATATAGTGCTTTTACTGGACTGAGTTTAGACAAATTTTACTGCACAAATTTTGCGAATTCGTGTTCTCCAATTATTAACGTTGAAAATATCGATTTGTAATGTAATAATTAATTAATAACACAAATAATAATAATACAAAAATGACTATTAATTTTACCAAAAACAGCTGCATATTTCCATTTTACCATTTTATCATTTCCTTTGTCTACATTTCTTCAAAGAAATTTCTAATCGAGCCCGTAATGTTTTACTGAAATTATAATCGTACAGATCATATATAGTATTCTAAATATATCAAACGAATAGAGACGATCTCTGGGAAAAGGTAAAAAATTTTAGAAAGTTGAAAAAAACAAACCCAAGAATCTGCACCATCTACACGGACTGGACACGCACTGAGCGCAACCCTCATAAACCAGTCAAATTTGTCCACACTTTCCAGCCCCCTCTGTATTTAAAGTGTCATAAAGTACGACGGCGACGAAGAAGAAAAAGGGGACGAAAAAGAAGTTGACAACGAGTCACATAATTATTTTGGCCCTCGTTTACAGCTTGTAAAGTATCCGCACGAAGGACAATGATTTAACGCCTAATTTGAATTCTCGAGAAATCCTCCTGTCACGTGTTCATTTCGCACTGATGTTAACTGGTATTTGATTCTACAAAATATGCTGACAATACTCACATAATGCAAAAAATATTTTTCAACATTTTATAATATTCCAATATTCGATACTATAATGTTTGATTTATAATTGCTTGGTATTTTATAATCAAATTACCGTAACATGATTATGAGTAAAACCAAGGAGGAACGAAAAAGAAAAGATAGGAGAGAAATGTACAAAAATAGCAATCCAATAGCTCCGACACAAGGATCTCGAGAATATCTAAAATAACCCTCGAAAAGTGGGGTCGAAATCCATACGCGTCCGAAGAGAAAAATCAAAGAGGGGGGTTAAGAAAAAATCGAGCCGCGGCTAGTTGCCGTGTCTCAAATGTCAAGAACGCGGCGCCTCGTCCCATGACCGTGCGTGCCACTTGATAGAGCGCCTTTCTTTCTCGTCGATCGTCTTTTGACTCTACCTTCGAGAGCCCCCAGCAAAGAAGAAGGACGAAGGAAGACGAGGGGCGTGTCCGGTCGCGCGGCTTCTACAAAGAGATGCCCACTTCCCTGTGGACCCCTTCCACTCCTCCGGGATCCCTTCCACGTGGGTCCCAGGAGTCCTCCATCCCCACCACCGGGCCCTAAGAAAACTGGGCAGCATGGTCCAGACCACGAGATCGCCAGGTAAAGTCAGTTTACGCAACGCTTCCGTACGCGAAGCATACACGGTCATCTAGAGGATCCCGTGAGTCCTTTCGATTCCTTCGACCAGTCTTAAGATATCGAGCAAACATGATATCCCGCGGCAGGATCATCAAAATAGTCTGATTCCACGTTCGAACCACCAAGGGGATGAACGTTTGTATCGCGAAAAATTGAACTCTGTTAAAACCCAATTAGTTCGTCTAAATGAGATGACAGTTGATTAAGCGAGTCCTCCTTCGAACAGTTCTAGTGTATTATGTTCTAAACATCGTACATCGCGTACACCGTTTAAGCTAATAGAAGAGACAGAGACATTCCGTGAGAATGACAACCTTCGCCAGTTTCCAACAGTACGACCTGCTAGATTCAGAGGGTTACGGGTCAGCCAGTAGCCCAGAGTCTAATCCACGCAGCTGGACCCATCAGGAGATCTATCCTCAACCGCCAAGGTCCAGGGGTAGCAGCTGCGGAAGCGTGAGCTCGGTCGACTGCCAGAATCGCGAGTACCAAGAGATCGGAGCCGCGAATGGCAGCTTTCACGTGACAACGACTGGCTTCAATTTCACCGATTTCTACGAGGGTTACTACCAGGAAGGTTGCCGGAACGACCACCAAATCGGCCATTCGAATAACATGAGGAAGGAGCAGGGAAAGGCTGTCTTCAGGATGAACGAGTGCATGGAGAACGTTTACGATGTACCAGGCAGGACTGAGTTCTCAGGCGAGAATCCAACGACCAAACAGAACCCGGACATCCCGCCAAAAATGGAGCACCACGCGAGCAATGTCTTTGGCAACGGCAGGTGCGACTTCGGCCAGAATCAAGAGAGCTTCTTCGCCGCGAAGAGTTATGGTATCCCGAAAGGTGACAGTTTTTTGCCTAGAAATAACGGCAATCCTTATGGGCAGAGGGGAGACATCCTTTATTTGGGCGCCACGTACAGCGTCCAGAGGAACGAAAACTACGTCCAGGGACAGCAGGGCGGCAAGTGCGAGCCGTCGAGGTTCCAGCAGAAAAACGACGATCTCCGGCTCTCGTCGATGGAGTATGCCGGTCAAAAGACAAAGGAGAGCATACAGAAGATCAAAAATGGTACACCGGGTATCGAGGTGCTGAGGAAGAGGCGGTTGGCAGCAAACGCGAGAGAAAGAAGGAGGATGAACAGTCTCAACGACGCATTTGATAGGCTCAGGGACGTCGTGCCTAGCCTCGGGAACGACAGAAAGCTCAGCAAGTTTGAGACTCTACAAATGGCGCAGACATACATCGCAGCTCTCTACGAGCTATTACAGAGAGAGTGAATCGAAACTGCACCAACTTAGACGCAGTTCGACGAAGTTTAAAAAGAACGATGATGGAGGTGACAAGTACGAGAACAATGGAACCATTGCAACCACATTTCTCCTAATTCTGACGAGGTAACGTGTCAAAAAGAGGCATCTGGAAGTCTCCTGTTATTGCTGCGTGATCTTGACTTTTGGGACCAAGTCTTCTATCAACTGTAAGAACGTTTGTCACACCGATGATCGAGATAGTCCTCTGTGAGCCAACATGAGCCAGTCATCGAGATGAAGAATCGACAATGGAGTCATCCAAGCTTCGTTACGCGATCCACGATGTTGATCAACAGGGTAAGGTAATTGGGTACGTGAGAAAAAGCATGAGCGTCGTCGATTCGTGAACTTTGCCGTCTTTCTAGCATAATAGAACGTGGTCGAACTGCATTTCTCAGTGCACAGGGGGAAAGAATCTCGGTTTCGAACCGGGCAGATAGTTTAATTAGCAATAATTGCAACATGCAAACGTTGCTGCACGCTAATGCTTTTTCCTCGTGCGGCCTTGTTGCCGGATTCCGGAATATTTTTCACTAGATCGAATCGCGATAACATCGTTGATACGCGAAACGGAACGAGTCTGATGAACTTGGTAGCCTAAGGGATGCGATCGTAAGGGAGGGAGGATAGGAGACGAGAGGTACGAAACATGTTCGAAGCCAGGTCGGCGCAATGGATACGTAGTTAGCTACAGTGAGTCACAGAAGTATCACTTTAATTAGCAACACCGAGTAATTAATATTTTTTTGGTACTCGAGTCTCAGTTATGTTTAGTATATTCTACTAGATATACCATATTTATTGATACTTGGTACATTATTCTTATAATTTGATCTAAATGTTATTGGAGAATAACACTTCGGTGAAGTCACAAAGGTATTGATACCACAAGAATTTTCAAATATTTATGAATTTACTGTGTCTTGCCGTTTGATTCTGCTCGCAGAGGACATATAATTCCAAAAATTCTAATCCAACTATATATTTTATTTCTTAACAAATTTAGACTCAAACTATTAGAGTACACACGTTCGTGAGCTTCCATGACCATGCACATCTTTATTGACAAACACACCGAAACCTAAGTTCCAAAAGAATAACAATGGTTCGAAATTCGAATTAGAGTGGTGCTTCTGTGACCCACTGTATGATAAACTTAGGCTAATAGCGGAGACTTGATCGTTTGGAGTTTTGTAAATAGACTATAGCTCAGAGTGTTTTAGCTGTAGGTCTCTTGTAAATAATTTAATTAGACACGACTAAGTTATTGCGACGTTGTATAGGTAATTATGTACATATATAAATAAACGGACTGGGATCTCTCGATCGCGATGATCGATCCATGCGACTGCGAGAAAGCAACATCGTCTCTTAGTGAGATGCACGAAGGTACTTCATTGAGGAACACGCGTCGTTCTCTCTTCTCGTTTTTGAATCAACGTGTGACGATTCTAATTTAGTCTATGATAAATTGGATTAAGTATAAACAACTTCGAAGAAAATTGGTGGTGAATGACGACGTGAGAATAAATCAAGTACCTCGTCACGTACAGTCGATCGAAAGTTTTCAAGGCAAACCAAAGAATCCGTAGGCGTTAAGGAAGACACTGCGTTGCCCCAGGTTATTTCCGGTTGTGAGTAACAATATACACTGTCAGCTAAAAAATTCCAATCGATTATTTCACGCTATCGATAGTCTACGTGATCTCTTCGATATCACTGTGACCTAATTTACATACGGATTAACACTAGAACTATCAAACCAGCCAGAATAACTATTCTCGGATCTTTCGTTCTTCCAGATAAGAGCAATAAATTTTTTGGAAAAATTAATATCGTCTTTCATGTGCTTATCCATCTTTATGCACAGTACTTTAGTTAATCCTAGTGTAAATCTCGAAACAGTAACTTATTAACCCTTTGCAGGCAAGAAATACAAATCGATGATTATTAGTGGCAATAACCTAAAGCGAATTTCCCAAATAAAAAAAAAAAAAAGAAAAATTAACACTAATGATAAAAATAATAAAATTACTTTTTTCCACGATATATTTGACATTCGCCCGCAAAGGATTAATAACGATCAAAAATTAATTTTTCTTCCAAATTTCATCAATGAAGAATTTCTCTGAACCAACCTTATATCACCGATTAATTGTCAGCAAAATTCCATCGAAAATTCGGAAATAATCGATTGCAAATTTCGTAGAGGTCAATGTATATACGCATCGTTCTTAGGAAGATTACAAAATCTCGGCGTTCTCTCGGGATTAAGCGTATCCATTCGGTGAACTCGATAAAGAAGTTAGCCGAAGACAAAGGCGAGAGGACAGGCTTTTAGGATTGATTCACACTCGCGAGGCGAACGATTCGGCCGCCGATTCAGCGGCGATGTACCTCCTGCAATTAGGGATATGCAAAAATCAGAGGACAAATGGCGGTGGTCGGCCACCTCCACTTAGCAGTCAATCACAATTAAATACAATTTTGCGCGAGCTTCGGGGTCTGGTAATGGCGCAAAAAGAGAGCAAATTGAAATCTCCTAGCTGACAGAATGATAGATGGTGCCGGCCAGACGCGAAAACACGGAGAACGAGGAAGAGGAAAAGAGGAAGGGGGGGGGGTGAAAAAGAGGAATAGAGACGGAAGAGAGTTACCTTCCTTCCCTGATCGCTGTGAGAAAGCTGCCTCTCTTTACTCCGAGCCGAGAACCGCGATGGACGGACGAAAATACAAAAGTCAAGCCGTGGCTGACGTTAATACCACTGCAGCGGGCCGATTTCTCCGGCCAATATCGCTAATCCTCTTCATCCGGAGAAAATGGCGATCCGATCTTTCCGGGGAACAACGACACTTTATGCACGATCGAATGATGCCTCGACCGTTTTCCACTGACTGCAATCCAACGTGACTACACGAAATCCGCCGAACCAATTACCATTGTTTTCTCTCGACGATCGAGGCTGGACCAATTTCGATCTAACATTTTTTTCCTTTTTTTTCTTTCAAATTGCGGTTTAAAGCATTTCCGAGTTACTGATAAGTAGAACAAGGATCTCATGGTCTATCTAGTGCTCGATTTAGGGTCATTCGAAGCTTCAGAAGCTTCTATCGCTGTTGACGAAAGAAGAGTAGCGTAAATAGACGTACAGTAGAACGACGATTATGCGAATCTGAATTGTACGAATGGCTATCCGGAAATTGGAACTGTGCATTGCATTATAATAAGAAAGAAACAAATGCTGTATGTCTATGTTAAAGGGAATCCACAACTTGATAGTTTCTGAAAACGTGTCATTTTTTCTGTTCTATGTTTTTCTTATTAGGCATGTATTCTCTCGTGTAAAAACCATTTATACTTGAAAATTATTTCATTTCGGGTTGATTTATGTCACAATTTAAAATTTGGAAAATCTCGGAAAAATCAATTATTAAACTTGTTTGTTTTCCAATTAATTCAGTTAATTGACTTCCTACAGACTTGATGTTTCGATGAAGGGTATGTAGATGAAGAATATCACAAATAGGTACATCGTTTTTTAGATGCAGAAACCCGACGGTATATTCGAATTTCACCACAACAAAGCGCAACTACGCCACCTGTTGATTTTCAGCCCAAACTAGCCTAACCATGATCGCGTATTCGCCACTTTTAAGACTTAAGATAAGACTAAGATAAGACTTTTGCAGCGAGTTCTGCTACCCGATCGGTTAAAACCATTCGCGATCAACTTATCACCCGTCCAATCACCTGATCACCATCGTTCCAAGTAAAAAGATGAACGGCTGAAAAACGCAACCGTCGAATTATCGCGCATGCTCAATTAAGCCCTAGAAATTAGCCGGCCAGAGGCAGCCTGAAGACGGTAGCCACGATTAATCGAGGCTCCTCGAACAAACGAAAACCCGTCTCTTTGTGAGCGGCACAAATCTATTTTCGCGTAGCTTCCTCAATTAAGCCGATAGAAATTTATGCGATTCACTCGTCGATTAGAGAGAAAAGGCTAATTATTCATCGACTCGTTCACGGAGGGGAGAAGAGATCATCGCAATAGGCGGACAGGCAGAGGATGAACCTAGGTGGCTGCTAGGTGGCTGAGCCAGAGTAGAGGGCACTATCAAAAGGTGTGTGTGCCTGTGTGGCCACCTCTCCTTTCCACCATGCTCTTTACCACGCTCGGTCTCTGTTCGCGACCGGTACGCGCAAACAATGCACGCAGGAGGCGCTAATCAGCGAACTCGCAACGTCTTCATTTGTGGCAGAGGGCGCATCAGGGCCCGCGTTTCGCCATCGTAGCAACGCTATTTGTCTTCCGTCCGGGATTTTGCACGGCTGAGTAATGAGAAGATACTCGATACGCTTCAGGTCCTCGGTAATAGTTACGTGTTAAAGCCGTGGAAGGGAGAAAGAAGAAGCTGCTGCTGCTGCTCCGTGGTGGAGATGCTGGCTAGGGAGGAGGAAACGGCGCAGTGAAAGAAAACGATTTCTGTCTAGCTCAGCCGATTCCGGTAACGCAGGCAGTTTGTTATTCACCGTGGAAAAAGTGCATTAGCCACGCGTGCTTTTTGTTTATTCGTGTAAATATAGCGCGTACGTGTATATGTACGTGGCCAAGGCGACGAACAGGTAGCGAACAGAGACGTCGTGTCTTATGAGAGGAACTATGTTTCGGATAGAAATGATGCTTCCAGATTTGTTATTGACGTGTTTGGTGGTTTCTTGGTAGCACTGGGATTTGCAAGTGGCGTATAGGATCAAAATCGTTTTAACCTCTTCAAGGCTAGTGGTATATACGTATTTACGGTTAGGTCTTTTATTCAAGTATTAGTTTGAGAGACGAAGAGAGTTGTGAATAAATATTTTAGTGTGATATTAATATTAATATCGGTATTAATCGTTTCAGCTCCTTTGTCGATTGGGACTTGATATAGATTTGATTTATAGGTGCATCTTGCTAATTAATTTG